GCTTCATGTTGGCATCTTCAAAAGAACAAGAGCAAAGTTGGTGTAAGACAACAAGGGACCCGCATCCCTTCAGAGCAGCATCTTCTGCCCGCAGAGGGGCTGCCCTCACCCACCACCCTTCCCCGCACAAGCCTGGGCTGGGAGAAGCCGAGGCAGAAGCTGCTGTGCCTCCCTGTCATTCCCATGGTGCCTGATTTTTGAATGTCTAAGATTTATCTTCATTCACATGTAAATATTGCAAGGAGCTGCGGGCCAGTATTTAAAGTGTAATATTAATTTACCAAGTGCAGTTATCTATTGAAAAAAATCTTTCTGGGTTATTTTAAGTCAGTACTAGAGCCGAGCCCACCGCTGCAGCCCAGCGGTACGGGGCCACGAGCAGGGCGAGCTGTGAATCTGCTCCAGAGGAGGGTCAGGCTCAGTGGCTGAACTCTGTCACCATTGCGACTGTCCCCGACAGCTCTGTCATGTTTGTTGGTCCGTCACAGATTCATCCTTACCTTTAAAGCTGGGTATTGTCCGGGCAGATCTCTTGATTGAGCCGCTCTCGATGGGGAATTTTCTCTTCAGCTCTTTCTAAAAGCAAGGAGAAGGAGAGAACAGTGATGCTTGGCAGCCCCGACCCCTGGCTGGGCTCCTTCCCCCCTCCCCAGGACGGGAATCCTGTTTTCAGGGAGATATTCACTTACATGGAATCTCTTAAAGTCTTCAAATGTCCGGTAGATGAGGATGTTGTTCTGATCTGACCAAGACACAAACATCATGTAGTTCTGGAAAAATTTTTAAAAAGTGCGTTTTTTTAATGACAGTGTTTGATATTGGATGCTTTTCTCTGTCCCCCCTCTGCTTTGATGAAGCCTAAATTGGCTTTTGTAGGGCTAATATTTGATTTAAATTTTTCATGTGACAGTCTGGGCTGCAGGACTGTCACATGAAAAATTTAAATCAAATATTAGCCCTACAAAAATGTTTCCTTAATTGTAGCATCCCAAATCGCTAATTGTTGTTAAAGCCAGGAGAAATTTATGATGCTGTGAACAGAAAGACAGCAGAATCCAAGATAACCAATTTCTGATGATACTAAAACCATTAAAAACCAAGTCCAAGACCCTGTCCTAGATCCCCAGGCTCTAATCCCAACCCTGCGGGGAAATAAGCAAGTACACCCCTGGAAGAGAACTCAGAAAGCCCTCTAGTTTCCCAGTTTGTAAACATATAAAGAGAAAAAAAATCCAGCCAAAAAAAAATTCATTAAAGTACCTTCTGCTTTCTGCACTGCATGAAGCCGACAGCCTTCACATCCACGGGGAACCTGCTGCAGCTCATCTTCCCGAGCCTGCTGCTCCCTTCCCAGAGCTTGAGCAGAGATGGGGCTCCGGGCACGACACCCGCAGTTAAATACGCTGGAGCGGGAGGCAGGGAGCGGGTGTTCCTGCTCTTCCTCCTCCGCCCCGACCGCTGGCAGAAATTCCGCAATTTGGCAAACTACCGCATGCCTTTTCCCTGCCCTGCGGCTCTTAACATGCAAATCCTGCTGGGTGCAGGGGCAGAGTTCAGGGAGCTGGGCAGGGGAAGGAGCTTATCGACCCCTTCCCAGCAGAATGCCGCTGGGCGCGCCTGGCC